TTTTTTTATTCTGTTTCAATTTTTTTCTGCTACATGGCCTGACATAGTGGTAAAGGATTTGGTACTGTTAGATCTTTTGGTAGAATTTATCAATGATCTAATGATGTAAAAAAGGATTCTGTAGCCCAACCCAAATTTATTGGGAGTAAGGCTTGGTTTAATGTTATAACCTTGTCAGAACATGTTGCTATTTTCTCTGCTGTTACGTCAGAACATCCTGAATCCATGAATAATTATTTGTGAGTTTCTAATTGTTTTTCTCTCTGCAGTCATTTGTTTTGACCTTCCTAGCAGAATGGGGGGACCGCAGCCAGATTGCAACAATCGCTGTAAGACTTATTTTTGACTTATCAAGTGGCTTTGGTTTATGCACATTCAATGTTCTTGATCGAGATAGATTTTTACTTTGGTTACGAGTCTCTTTCTTTTCTTTCCCATTTGTTTAAATTCTCACGAGCCTCGGCCATTTAAGGTCCAATTTTTCGGAGAGTGTAAATGGATCTTTAGTTCTTGTTTCTCCTTTACAGATTCACGTCTTACATCATATGCAATGACTTCTACTTGAAACCAGCAAGCACAACATCAGAGGACCTCGCATGTTTAGCAAAGCTTAAATTGTTTTATGCTGGTCAAACGTACTTTTTATGTACCCATTTCGTATGACCCACTACTAACTACCCACTTATTATTCACATATTTACATGGGATCTACGACTTATAAGCACTTAAAATGACGAAACAAGCACTAAGGTCAAGCACTTGTAAAAGCGCGTTTGGTGAACCTTAGTACATGCACGTTTAAGTTATTTTACTTACAAGTAAATTTTTTATACTTAAAACTAAATAATTTTTTATCGTGAAAGTAATTTAGTGAGCTAGTTTGAAAGTAAATCTTTGGCTTGATACAGGGTAAAAGTTACTCTCAAAATAAGTAACTATTGTTACTTAAAAAGTAAGAAAATTGTAACATAAAATGTTTGGCACCAAAAAATAACTTTTTCTAAGCTTAGCCAAACGTGTGGAATCATTGCTGTTTAGTTTAGATTGTTTAGTTGTGAATGTTTGATTAGTTGTGCCATGCTATTTCATACCATACACTTTTGCATGTACTCGATCATCCATCTGATTAGAGTTTGCTATAAATGAGATTTGTTCTCCTTTTCCACAGCTAGCTACTCACAAAAGTGCTATTGGAGTAGCAGTCGGGGCCATTATAGGACACGCAATTTGTACATCATTAGCTGTTGTGGGTGGAAGCATACTTGCATCCAAGATCTCGCAACGCACTGTTGCTGCAGTCGGTGGGCTACTTTTCCTTGGTTTCTCGATGTCTTCGTACTTGTATCCTCCTCTTTGACGATGGTAGTTTAATCGATCAACTTCATTCTTTAGGAGTAATCATGCTATCTTTTTCAAGTCTGTCTATTAGGAAAAGTTAAACGCTACAAGTACAGATTTTTTATGTAGTATATTGTATACATATCAACATTATGGTACAATTTATTTGTGGCAGTTTAAATTGTGGCAGTTTTGAATGAAGGTCGATAGTGGTATTTTGGTTCTCAACTTTTGATTGTTATTGCTATTAAAAATTTAATTTTTACTAAAAAGAAAGAAGTAAATAGTGGAGAGGTTTCTGGACTTCCCGTATATTAATCGAAATCAAATCCATGAGAAAGTTAGGTTGTATGCACAGTCTCGATCATTTGCACAAGCTTAATTTTCATTCTATTTGTGGGAATTGGGTACTATGACAAGGGAGGATCATGGAAATAATAAATTCTTACATAAAATTTGATGAAATTTGTAATTGAAAAGTTGTAGATCCCATGAAATATGTTGTTGAAATTAACTGTTGAATTTGATTTAGATTAAAATCTTGACCAAACAGGGGCTAAATATTCACATGACAAAGGCATAATTTCTTTTCCTTCTCTCTTAGATAATTAAACGAAAAACTTTTGATTCTTTCCTGAAAAGGATAGAACGCATTTGAGTTATTGACTCATCCAATCTGACAATGAGTTCTTCAAATATTCTAAAAGATATGGTT